ACACACACACACACACACACACACACACACACACACACACACACACACACACACACACACACACACACACACACACACACATATATATAACTCACTCTCACACTCGTGTGATCTCCGGAGATTGCAGCAAAATATTTGTACGACAGCGAGAGAGCGAGGTATGCTTCACTGCCCATATGATCATAAAGAATGTCTGACGGAGAGAGACAACACGAAAGGGAAGAGCGATTCCTGAAGATGGGTTTAGGATGTGTGTGTACTCACCTAGTTGAGGTTGCAGGGGTCGATTCCAAGCTCCTGGCCCCGCCTCTTCACTTGTCGCTACTAGGTCACTCTCCCTGAACCATGACCTTTATCGTACCTCTGCTTAAAGCTATGTATGGATCCTGCCTCCACTACATCGCTTCCCAAACTATTCCACTTCCTGACTACTCTGTGGCTGAAGAAATACTTCCTAACATCTCTTTGATTCATCTGTGTCTTCAGCTTCCAACTGTGTCCCCGTGTTGCTGTGTCCAGTCTCTGGAACATCCTGTCTTTGTCCACCTTGTCAATTCCTCTCAGTATTTTGTAAGTCGTTATCATGTCCCCCCTATCTCTCCTGTCCTCCAGTGTCGTCAGGTTGATTTCCTTAACCTCTCCTCGTAGGACATACCTCTTAACTCTGGGACTAGTCTTATTGCAAACCTTTGCACTTTATCTAGTTTCTTTACATGCTTGGCTAGGTGTGGGTTCCAAACTGGTGCCACATACTCCAATATGTGTGTGTGTGTGTGTGTTGTAGTTGTGTGTGTGTGTGTGTGTGGGTGTGTGTGTGGTGTGTTGTGTGTGTGTGTGTGTGTTGTGTGGTGTGTGTGAGTGTGTGTGTGTGTGTGTGTGTTGTGTGTGTGTGCGCGTGTGTGCGCGTGTGTGTGTGTGTGTGAACATATAGGAAAGACAAACACTAGGCAGCTTCATGGTACATATATAATCTTTAGCTAGGCAGATAGCGAGACTATCTGCTGAGAACGATCAGCTACTATCTGGCTAACTCTATATCTAGATAACTGAGAAAGAGAAGGATTTTTTCTGCCTTAACTGCTACCATTACTATCACCACCACCACCACTACTGTAGTACTAATAATTCCCAAATTTACAAGTGTCTTATTCTTCAAGTTGTCGGTTTTCTAATCCATTTACATAACTTATACTGTAATACCACTATGTCCTGAGTGGCTCAATATTAACTGATGTTCCTGAACTATTTCCTGAATCATCAGCATGTTGCTGATAACAGCATCCTGACGTACCTGTAGTTGGACCACTAGAGGGAGGCATGGTCATGGACCGGGTAGGTCCATGTAACCGGTCAGGTAACCCCCAGGTAGTGGTCCGACTACAGGTCTGCGAGCTATTGTGGTCCGTGGGTCGATATTATGTGGACCACAAACACACAGACAGTAAAGCGTTTCTATAAATGAGATTAATTAATGTCTCTGATAACAGTCGTCGTTAGTTTACACTAAGTCGATGTTAAATTAATGGGAGGGTAGTATTATAATAATAATAATAATAATAATAATAATAATAATAATAATAATAATAATAATAATAATAATAATAATAATAATAATAATAATCTTTATTTGTACAAGTACATGATACAACTTATACAGACCATAGCTGACATCAGTGACATACTATATAGAAAGTTCCTTTTTATGCAGAGCATTTCGAGCAACTTAGGTTAATCTTGTCCCCAGGATGCAACCCACATCAGTCAACTAACACCTAGGTACCTACTTACTGCTAGGTGAACGGGGACACCAAGTGTAAGTAAACACCCCTCTCACCGGGGATCGAACCACGGACGAAAGTCAGTTAGCGAGAAAAGAAAGGAGGGACATGTTCACGACATATAGAATCCCGAGAAGTTATATACTACAAAGAGACCGGCTATTCGAGAGACAGAGACCTGGGACAAGAGGCCACAGATAGAAGTAAAGAAAAAATGGATGAATCATTGATGTCAGAACTTTTTTGAAAAGCGGGATGAGCTAGACGAGGAGACTGTGGTGGCTGTATCCATTCACAGCTTCACGTGAAGGTATAAAAACTCAGGTGGTCAGAGTCTGGTAGATGACGGTCAAACAAGACTCATGAGAGGGGGTCAAAAGTCGTGGCTTGACCTCCTCCTCTTGGAGCAGGGAGAGTGGACCTAGTAGGGACCAGCGAAGAGGCGGGGCCACGAGCTAAGACTCGACCACTGCATCTACAAATAGGTGAGTACAAGTAGGTGAGTACAAATAGGTGAGTACAAGTAGGTGAGTACTCTCGCTCTCTATGAGTGCTCATCCAACCCACCCACACGCACTCCACCCACACACTCAACCGCACACGCACTCCGCCCACACACTCAACCGCACACGCACTCCGCCCACACACTCAACCGCACACGCACTCCGCCCACACACTCAACCGCACACGCACTCCGCCCACACACTCACCGCGCACGCACT